CCTCCAAAAGCTCATGGCAAACTCCCTAAAGGGGTGAGTTTGCTACAATGGGGTTTTCAAAAGTTACTGAGTCAAATATAAGGCTTGCGTTTCAGTTTTTTCACATTGAAATTAGCCAGATTGGTTACGTTGCCTTTGAGACCGTATGGTAGCCCAGGAATGTCAATTACCCCCATGATGGCATACCATTTGCAATAGTAGACAACCCAAGGTATTTCAAAATGGGCATGTCCAGTCTTTCTTAGTAGCCACTTAGTCACAAACACTGGCCAAAATTGACATTCTGATTAGTTTTTTGCATTTTTCACACACAATCAAATATTAACAATAACTTTGGACAATGTTTGTGACCAAGTGGCTACTAAAAAAGACCGGACATACCCCATTTGCAATACCTTGGTTTGTCTACTATTGCAAATGTTATGCCATAATTTTCATTGCACAAAGGCAGCATAACCAATCTTGCGAATTTCAGTGTGAAAAATTTAACATGCTATATTTGACTCTGTAACTTCCCAAAACACCATAAAACCTGTACATAGGAGGTACTGTTATACACGTGAGACATTGCTGAATACATATATGTGTTTTATTGCAGTAAAAGCAAACCGTATTATGACATTCACAGTTAAAATGTCATGCAGAAATAAAAAAATAAATCTTATTTCCTACCATTCTTTAATATAGTATTCATATTAAATTATGTTTTATACCTGTGAATTATAGCTCCCAATCCCCCAAACATAAGCCCAGACTTTATGAAGGGGTAAAAACGGTCTGTTTAATGGTGGCCCCAGCTCAGCCTTTTATGCAGGTCCTCCAGCAAGGGATACTCCCACATGGGATAATTGGGTTAAGTAGCCGTAGAAAACTTAAAGGATCACTATAGTGTCAGGAAAACAAAGCGGTTTTCCTGACACTATAGTGCCCTGATGGGGGCCCACATAGAGATAATATACATAGATGCCGCATTGACCGCTACTGCCTGCTGGCGCTGATGAGCCGCGGGGCCGCCATCTTGGAACGGGCACCACGCTACTCAAGGTATTGAAGAACACTTGGAAAGTCCATCTGTCATTCTCATTACTGAGTACTACCATTCTCATTATCCCTGCACTGACTGATAATGAGAATGGTAGTACTCAGTCAGTGCAGGGATAATGGGAATGGTAGTACTGAGTAGTACTACCATTCCCATTATACCTACTCTGCACTAACTGAGTACTACCATTCCTATTATCTCTGCTCCACACTAACTTGAGTCCTACCATTCCTATTATCCCTGCTCTACACTAACTGAGTCCTATCCTTCCTCTTACCTCTGCTGTCAACCTCTGCTGTCAACATCGCCCGTCCCAAGATGGCGCCCGCATTTCTCGCCGCTCAGAAGTCAATGCGGCGTCTATGTATACTATGTCTATGGGGGCCCACACCCTCAGGGTCCACCTCCCGTAGTGCTGAAGGGGTTTAAAACCCTCTCCTCCCCGTCCAACGTCAGCTCCTGAGTGGAGCGGAATGCACATTTGAAGAGTCTATAGAAAAGCATTTCTCAATGCTTTCCTATGGATGCGAAATTCGCTTCCAGCGTCGCAGATGTGCCTCTAGCGGCTGCCTGGAAGACAGCCACTAGAGCAGGGACAGGCAACCTTCGGCACTCCCGATGTTTTGGACTACATGCTCCGTAATGCTTTTACACCCGTAATGCTGGCAAAGCCTCATGGGAGGTGTAGTCCAAAACATCTGCAGTGCCGAAGGTTGCCTATGCCTGCACTAGAGGCTGGATTAACCCCTAATGTAAACATATCAGTTTCTCTGAAACTGCTATGTTTACATCTGAAGAGTTCAAACCTGAGGGACCTGGCACCTAGACCACTTCATTGAGCTGAAGTGGTCTGGGTGACTATAGTGTCACTTTAATCATCTCCAGGTACAGAAAATATTTCAAATTTTTAACTGTAAAAAAACACATTAAAATGCATAACTCAAATTTCACACAACTGGACCCCCACATTCAACATATCCCCAGATAGCTTGGATCTGAGCACTCAATATATCCGAACAGCACTCTGATCCCATGAACACAGTCGAATTGCCATGGAGTTAAAGGACCACCAAAGTGCCAGGAAAACAAACTGGCACTATAGGATCTTTAGGTCCACCCCACCCTCAGGGCCCCCACTCCCCGCCGGGCCAAAGGGGGAGTAAGGGGTTAATCACTTACCTTTTTCCAGCGCCGGGCTCCCACTGCACTGGGGAAATCTCCCTCTTCCGACGTCAGTGCTGAATGCGCATGCGCGGCAAGAGACGAGCGCGCATTAAATCAGTCCATAGGAAAGCATTACTGTAACGGATCGCCTGGCACCCCGACTGGGTACCTCCGTTGAAAGATGCTCCTAGCGCTTCCTGAGGGCTCCAAGCACTCCAGCAGACACCACAACCACAACAGACCGAACCTCTCTTCCTACAGAGCGAAGCAGGATCAAGCTCTTAAATGAGCTTAGTAGTATAGCAAGAAAGTATGACGAGCATAGCAATCCCTTGTAGCAGATTCCCCCAATAAGTGACAGGACTCCAAATTGAGGGTGAAGTAGAACTGAAGTTTTAATGAAACACTCAGCTTTTATGCCCATTTTCTACCCATAGTACCGCCCACAGGGTTTTGTAAGACGACCAATAAAACACGTAAATTATAGTAAAACACTTCCAGCAATTACACACAAATCCTCCCCTCTGCCTGTGATATAATTACGAACACAATGGGTTAAAGTAATTATCACTGGCAGGAAAAATATACTTTTTACACAGTTACTGTAACTTTAAAAATATACATCCAATCTTCCTAAAAGTAACATATTACTAATCAGCATCCTTTAAATATAAACACTCTCAAAAATAATACAAATCCCTCCAGTAGATAAAAAGTTAGTCGGAAGTCCTTTGTGACCGATCGGTCAGGCGGTCGGTCAATTTCAGGCATAAAAATTATTAAGTCCCATTCGAATGCCCGAACGGGGCCGTTCATGCAATTGGCTCAGTATAGCAGTGCGTGAGTTCAAATAGCCGAACTGTACCCAGCCGTTCGTCAATTAGGTCAATTAGTTGCGGTTAACCACAGCTTCTGGGAGGTTAACAGGCTGCAGACTCCCATTGTGTGTGGTCTGGCCATTCGGCAGTTTATTCGGTAAAATAAAAGGGAATAAATAAGGCTAAATGGCTAAATGCACGGCATACGAAAAAAAGGGCACTGGTATCCACAAAACTGGGGTTTTGTCAATTACTTACTACACAGTAAAAGATATATATATAAAAAAAAAATCTGATGTAGAATTCTATACCCCAAGGCCTGCTAGCGGACATGCGCGCTGCTGAGATCAGCAAGTGCTTCAGCAGACCTTGGGGTATAGAATTTTATATTAGATTTTTTTTATATATATCTTTTACTGTGTGTGTAGTAAGTAACTGTGACAAAACCCCATTTTTGTGGATACCAGTGCCCTTTTTTTTAATATGCCATTCGTGAATTTAGCCCTATTTATTTATTCCCTTTTATTTTAGTTACGGTGACGTGACATTTTTTTTATTTTACTTACAGTGACGTGGGTGCACCGGAAGTGACCTAGGTATAGAAATCTGATAGATACAGATTTCTGATAGAGCACAGGAAGTCCCTCTAGTGCAGTGGTTCCCAACCCAGTCCTCAAGTTCCCCCTAACAGGATTTAAGGATCACTCAATTGTGTCTAAGGTGTTTTGGGGGAAAAAACAAAAAACACTTTAGACACAACAGGGTAATCCCTAAATCCGGGACGGGTAGGGGGTACTTGAGGACCGGGTTTGGAACCCCTGCTCTAGTGGCTGTCTGGAGGAGTGTAAAAAATGTAGATGAATGGATGTTCATGTTAATGTAGAATCTTCTTAATTTCTTCTTATCTTCAGTTGATTGATATATATACGTCTTGGGCCAAATGCTCGCCACAATAATATATGTCTATATTATTGAAAAGTAGTAATACGCAATCTGACTTACGGTTTCTTCAGGTTTATTCTTTGTTACGGATACATAATAAAACATAATAAATGATGTTACAGGATAATGGACATTCAACAGCAGATGGTAATTGCTGTCCTTCTGATGGGAGAGTTACATCGTTGTACAGAGCCAAGCCAAGAGTGAGAGCGACCTGTGTCCCTCTGTTACTATAAAGATGTGCTAATACTAACGTCAGCATTTAACTCTAGCCATATAAGGAAAAGACCCCCGAATCCACATTCCAGAGCTCTCGGACAAAGAAAGCCTTGTGACTTATTGATACCATCTGTTACTTATGTCAATCCACACATCCATATATATAATCAATAGAAACATAGAATATGCAATATTCTACATTCCCTCTGTTTATGGTTTGTCTTAAAACCATAACACAATGTCACTAACCTGTCCATTCATACATCACTTGTATCACATTCATTGAGCATAGAACAAGATGAAGTCACAACTTTCTATTATATGAGAGTTCTTAGAAGGTCGAGTTTCTATCCCTCATACTGCTTACTTTACTTCAAAACTCTCTCTGTTTCAGCTATGTACTGATATCCATATCCATATTACATCATAACTACTTGAACATAATATGTACACATATATAACAATAATAAATGAATAAAATAAATTATTTACAAATGTTGATCCAATAAACAATGTAAAGCAATCAGAAAGATCTACCTGCTCTGGTACAGTTGTATCTTTGTAAACAACAAAATCAAGATCATAACTTTCTAAATAATAACTGTGTATCACTATCATACTCCTACAGATACATATAGCATAGTATTTTCATTCTCAATACCTGATATTACTTAAGTACTAATACATGTATTACTATAATATCCTGTCCAATTATATTTCCATGAATCATCTGTTTTCTAGTAACTTAAACTCTTTAGGTCATTTGTATTCACAAATTACCTTCCTATACCATTAATACCACCTGGTGATACTTGCATCAGTAGGCTCTCACTGCCTAAAATATACCAACACTACTTATAAGACTCATTCAAAGGATGTGTTATCAACCATGAAGTTCTAAAATAATTCTTCAAATAATGTTCATGGTGTTGACAATACTTATTGTCCTAGAAATTCTCCACACAGAAATCTTTCTATCATAGATTTGTTTTTGTTCACATAATTATAATTTTGACTAAAATTCCACCTTGTAGTAACAAACATTTCATTCAACAGAAACATGGTTTACTTTAAAAGAACTTGGAAATAATAATTTAAATTCATTAGCATCACTCTCTTCATTAGCATTGTGATGACTTATTAATGTAATACATCTTAAAAGCAGGATTGTCCTAATGTTCTGACCAATCCATATTCCTTAGTACACTTCAACTGACTAAAATAAAATAAAATAAAACTTGGGGTCATACTGCCCAGAAACTCTTATTCCTAGTCTGTGTCTAACAAACTCAGGGTAATCATAAAACAACTTAACAACGTATTCATTGGATACCATCATATCCAGAAACCTATTCTCCCTAGTCCATACCTTTATAGACTTAGGTCAAATATAATTGTGTACTATACTCTTTCCATTCAATTCAATTCCTCTTGGATCTTTGAACTCTTATATCCAAGGCTTTCTTAATGTATATAATTACTTAATATAAATCAATATAAATTATTCTTCCTTAGTTTTCTTCCTTATGTTACCATTGTTTGTTTTACTTCACCTCAATATAAACAAATTACTTATTATAATTAATCTATGAAATCCTATTGAACTCAATCTTTGTAGTATTAAGTAACCATGATCCTTATTTGATCAACTTCATATTTTATCTACCTCTGATACTTCTCATCCTATGTATAGGTAATAATGTACTAGTTCTCTCCATAATACTGTCCTTTCATAATTTTACTCCATGTGTTATATTTATAAGTACTCTCTTTTGGTATTAATACTCATAACTGTTAAATAACTTTTCATTGTCTGTTTTCTTCTTCATTAATATTTAGGAATTTATATTAGTGTCAATCTTTTATTTCTTTGTAAGTCTATTAATCTTCTGTATCAAATGAACTCTGTAGAATCTTCCATCACAGTTTGCAGATCAGATGAAAAGTCTCTTTCCAACAGTCGATGTCCAGTTGTCTGAAGGAATGCTTTCCTGATTTATTGCCACAAGGATCTGTCACGCTTTACCAGATCAGTTATCTCTGTCTATTTCGTTGCTTCATCCACACAGCTGCGCAGTTCTTTGCTGGGATCTGGAAATTTGCCAATCTCTGCCATGTGCTTGCTTCTAGAATTCACGTTGTATCTTGTGCTTTTTGTCTCAGTTGTAGAAAATAGTCTTGTACAGTCTTTGTGATTTGAAAACTTTCTTTTTCTTACAAATACAATTCTTCTATGACAGTCAGTCTAGATTCTTTTTTTCTCTTCAAGTTTGTTTTCCCAGTTCCAAAATAGCTTTGTAACTCGATTCTTCTCTCTCCCCCCTTGAAGTGGGAACAAAACTTTGAATAGAAGACTGGCAGGCTAGCCAATGTAAAAAAATTTGGATGGTGATAATGTGGATGAGATTAGATGGAACGGTGTTAATGTAGAATCTTCTTAATTTCTTCTTATCTTCAGTTGATTGATATATATATACGTCTTTTGTATATATATTCTTGGGCCAATTGCTCGCCACAATAATATATGTCTATATTATTGAAAAGTAGTAATACGCAATCTGACTTACGGTTTCTTCAGGTTTATTCTTTGTTACGGATACATAATAAAACATAATAAATGATGTTACAGGATAGTGTACATTCAACAGCAGATGGTAATTGCTGTCCTTCTGATGGGAGAGTTACATCGTTGAACAGAGCCAAGCTAAGAGTGAGCGACCTTGTGTCCCTCTGTTACTATAAAGATGTGCTAATACTAACGTCAGCATTTAACTCTAGCCATATAAGGAAAAGACCCCCGAATCCACATTCCAGAGCTCTCGGACAAAGAAAGCCTTGTGACTTATTGATACCATCTGTTACTTATGTCAATCCACACATCCATATATATATAATCAATAGAAACATAGAATATGCAATATTCTACAAGGAGTTAAAGGAGCACTATAGTGCCAGCAAAACAAACTCGTTTTCCTGCCACTATAGGGTCATTAGGTCCGCCCACCCTCAGGGTCCCTGTCCTGCTGGGATGAATGGGTTAAAATCCCTTCAGCCACTTACCTTTCTCCAGCGCCGGACTCCCTCTGTGCTGGGGAACTCTCCAACCCCTGCCAATGTCAGATCCGAATGTGCATGCGCACATTTAATTTGATTCATAAGAAAGAAAGTGAAAAAGGAAAAAGTGAGATAGTAAATAAAAATGTAACCACAAATGGTAAAGAGAAGTGAATGGGCAATTGGCGACCCACTCACCTGTTTCATCCCAAGGGCAGAGCATCCAAACTTCTTCGGTCCTTGGCGTGGGGAGCGGACCTCCAGAGCTCAAACACAATGCCCTAGCGTTAACTGACTGCGCTGGCGGAGGTAGCAGGCCTTGCCACATCGCTGGCAGACACAGCCAGAGGGGAGAAACCAGAACAACTTTAAGGGAGATTTTAAGGTATTGGAGGGCAGAGAATGGAAGAATAAGGAGGAATGAGAAATAAAATAAATATTTTGTCACCACCAACTTTATATAATTAGAAAGAAAGTTGACAAACCCTAAGCTCAATTACAGTCAAAGTGTAGAGCAGGGTACTCCAATTTAGGCAGATTGAATTTAAGAAAGGCAATCTGCACCATGAGATGAGGTGACATTTGTGAGCGCTGTGGATTCAGTATATTACTGGTTACCGAAAACACACGCTCACTTGGGACAGTGGTTGGCCATGATAGCAGCTCCTGCGCAACCAATGATAGTGCAGGCCACACACTCTTCTTCTCATCCCAATAGCTAAGAAGGTCGACATTATGGGGCAAAGGAGGTTCAGAGAGGTACGCTCTGACCATTTCTGAGGCAGTACTCTCCTGTCTGCTGCTAGCACTCTCAGTGGGTCCAACTATATCCTCAAGCAACTCTTCCCAAAATGCAGCTGCTCCACTCAGTTGTGTGGTGGTGGTGGTGGTAGTGCCATTGCTTCTGATAGAAGTAGCCGACATCTCAGCCTCCTGCTGAACTACTCCCTCAGACAGCATTCCCCTCTTTTGCTGCCAGTCACACACCCTCTGGATCAGTTTCTCCCTCCAATTTTTTAAGTTATTGGATCTGAGTGCAAGCTTTCCCTTAATCCTTGGATCACACAGGCAAGCTAGCATCAGTTCAGGAGAATTATCCATTCGCTCACGTAGGCGAACTTTAAGCTGATCCTTCAGCCTCCTGACCAGAGTTACTACATCAGGATGTAAAGAATCACCTTGAACAACCTCTTGGCGTTCAAGGAAGACACCCATCTTGCTCCCTAGATGGGTGAAAACAGGGATTACCTGTCCCAGATTGGCAATGTTCAAGCTTAAGTTTTCAGTGGCATCTCTGAATGGTTTCAGGACTGCCACTAGCTGAACGATCACTGTCCAATCGTCTCTACCTAGTGGAGAACCAATACCGATGTATTGGTCTGATGCCAGACTATGGATTGCCCTCTGCTGCTCTAAAATCGTCCCCAGCATCTCCACAGTAGAGTTCCACCGTGTATTGACATCTTGTCGTAGACAGTGTGTGGGAAGATCTGCCTTCTCTTGTTCCTGCCTCAACAGTTGGCTAGCCTTCACACTGCGGTGGAAGTGCCCAGCAATCCTCCTGCACCTTTCAATCACACTGGAAACTCTGTTATTACCTTCTGGGATTGCTGACTTTACTACTAGATGGATAATGTGCGCTGCACAGCGCACACCAACAAGGTTACCATCACGCAAAGCTTTCACCATATTTGTAGCTCCATCAGTAGTCACAAACCCCACTTCTACATTGGTGCCTGCCTCCGCTCCAACCCAAAGAGACACCATCCTCCTTACTGCCTGCAGAATGTTATCTGAAGTGTGTTTTTCATCCATCACTTCAGCATGGAGAAGGAAAGAGCGATAGCCCAGCTGATCTAAAGATACACTTCCTCCCTTTCTGCTAGACACTGCTGCTGAAGTTGCAGCAGCAGCTTCCTGAGACACACCAGGCTCCCACTAGTGTGCTGTCAGGGAAAGAAAGGCATGCTGGCCATTTGGTGCACTCCACAAATCTGTGGTAAAATGCACAGACTGACCAGCAGCCTTCAAAAGCTCCCTTTTCACTACTCCAACACAGGACCGGTAACGTGAAGGGACTATCCTCCTGCTGAAAGTGGAGCGTGAGGGAAGATGGTATTGTGGAGCCACAGCCTCCATCAATTGTTTGAAAGGCTCCCCTTCTATCATAAAAAAGGAAGCACCCCCAACAGCAATTAACTGGCCAATAAGTCGCGTAATTTTATTGGCCTGCTGTTTAGACATAGCCCTGGAGTGGAATCCCCCAAATTGTTCCAGGGTGGGCTGGACGCATTGTGATGCTCCAACCAGTCTTGGTTGTTGGCTGGCAGCACCAGTAGTTCTTGGCTCTGCAACACCTCCCCTGTCACTCCTAGCTGCCATGGTATTGGACACTGTAATAGTAGCAGCTATGCTGCCTGCCCTAGTACTTTCTGCCTCTTCCCTCAATAACACAGCCTTGTGATGGCTGCGAAGGTGATGGTTCATCCCTGCACTGGTGAGATGACCCAACACTCTCCCCCTGCTAACTTCCTTCCCACAAAGTTTGCACTTTGCAAAGCGCCCATCTCCAACACTTTCAAAGTGATCCCAAACTTTGCTGCGGCGCAAAACATTGGCGCTTGCCCTTCGGGATTCTGCTGCTAATGGTGCAGGTTGATGAACAGCAGGAGGAGTGCGACTACTGGTAGCTGGCACAGTAGCCTCGGCACTGGTAATGTGGCTAGTAGTACCAGGGGTGGTGGTGATTGTTGGCACAGTTACACTGGTGGTGGTAACTGTGCCACTGCGAGGAGGAACAGTGGATCTGGAAATAGTAGTGGTAATAATTGATTGTGGTGGTGGTCTGCTAATGGTTGAAGTAGCACTAGCAGGTGCTACTATTGGAGAAAGTGGAGAGGAAGGGGAAAAATGTGCACTTGTAGCAAGAGAAAAGGTTGGACTGCTCCCTGAAGAATTCTGA